GTGGAAGCAGTTGATGCCATCCCCTCCGTGTGCATACTGTGAGCAGTGAGGGGATCGTTCCAGCCCCAGGCAAGGGCAGGGATGCAGACCACTGCTCCCTGGGATGCCACAAGCCCAAAAGTCCCTTTGCTGCAGCTAAACTGGAAACTCTGCCGGGCGTTGAGAGACGCAGCTGCGCACGGAGGGCTTTGCGTGTTTGATTTCTTCCCTCGGTTGCTCAAACAGTCTGACAAATCCTGTCGTTACAGGGGCATGAGGGACTCGGGGCAGCACAGCAAAAGGCACCAGCCCTGGCTGGGGCCTGTCCCCAGGGAGCATCGTGCTGACAAACTAAACATACAAGGCTGAAAAACACACACACACACACACACCCACTATGTGTGTGTGTGTGGGTGTGTGTGTGTGTGTGTGTGTGTGTTTGTGTGTGTAAGCTTTTGTTGTGAAGGAGATGGCTGAAAGCCAAGCCCTGGGAACTGTGTGGTTTGCTCATCTGATAAACTCCTGGTCCTCACAGAGAGAGGACTGGGGTCTGGATGGGCTGGGACACTGCCCTGGCCATGGGGCATGTCCCTCCTCTCCTGCCCACACTCCCTTCTTCCCAGGGGGAGAGGCACACAGCGAAGAGAAAATGCATGTTTTAGCCCAGCACGACATGGAGGAGATGGGGTGTGACACAATGCTTGGCAGGGTTTCCTCACTCCACACCCTGCCAAGGGCTGTGGGTACCGAGGGCATCTCCCCTCTGGCAAACCTCAGAGTCCCCCCAAAGGATGGGGCTCTGCTGGGCTCCCCCCTTCACCCCCAAGAACAGGGGTGGGATGGGCTGCTGGGTCATGCTGTTGGAGCCTAACCAAAGCTAAATAGGCTTTCTCTGAGTCACTCAAAGTCTGGCCAGGAAAGCAGGATGAGCAAACGGCATCACCCACGCGGCTGGGCACTGGATAGCAGGTGCCAGCAAGCCCTAGGCGTGTAAATTTGCACACAACACATGTTGAGGACCTGTCCCAGAATCCTGGACAGCGGTTTTGGCCCCCAAATTCTCCACCACATCCCAGGTGGGATGTGGATTTGGTGCAACTCAGAGTGATTTCCACCGACAGCCCGATTTCAGCTCTGGGATGAGGAAGAGGAGGGCTGTGGGGGAGAGCTTTTCTGCTGGTAGGGGACGCTGACTCTCCTTGCTCTGCATCCCACACCAAACGGCTGCACCTTCATTTGGGGTCTTCTTTCTTTTTTTCCAAAAGCCCTTCCAGAGCATTTTACACCCCATGGGGGACTAGCAGCCTTTTCCAGCCTGCCGTGGTTCCTGGAAACTCTGGGTTTCATTTTCGAGACTGAGCAGCTGCTGCTGCCACGCTGGGGGAAGGCGGAAGCCGCACAGCCCTGCGCTGGGGCCCTGCAGCAGAGTCTCCAGCCCTCGCCAAAAGTAGCTGTTTCCAGAGCTGTGGAGCCGCAATGTGCGGATCAGGATGAAAAAACAGCAGCAGGTTTTTGCCAGCGGGGAGCAGCAGCTGTCTGGGCAGCAGGGATTGGGTTTCAGGGCAGGCAGAGGTGGCTGGCAGAAGAATGGGTCGCGTCGGGCAGATGTATTTTGGGAAGGAGGGGGAGCAGCTGCTCCTGAGGGGTGGGATGGAGCGGCAGGGAGGAGCTCCTTTTTTTTTACTGCTCTTGTCAAGACTTTGTTGGGAGGGTTCAGCCTCTGACCCTGCCTGCAGGGAGTCATCACCACACTGACCCTTTGTCTTCCCACAGGCAGGTCTGGCGAGGCAGAGGATGCCCTAGCCCAGGACGCCTTCCCAGCAGACAGAAGGCACTTGTGTGTGTTCCCCATGGAGATCCGACATGCTTTACCCCGGGATATCTGGGAGCTGCTGCACTGCTTGAAGGTGAGGAGCAAGTATGCTGTCCTGCTGGTCTTCGTTGTCAGCCTTGTCATCATTGAGAAGGAGAACAACTTCATCTCCAGGTAGGGAGTGGGAACCTGAGCCACCCCATGCTTTTCACCCTTTCTTTCCCCCACATCCTGAGCTCCTGTGCATCAGGAGCCCCCCAAATCCCCAGCCGGGATGCAGGGGTGGTCCCGCTCTCCTCCAGGCTGGGATGGGTCTCCCCACAGGGTGTCGGACAAGCTGAAGCAGTCCCCACAGGTTCTGGCAGAGGCCAACGGCACGGAGGTCAGCCTGGCACCGGCCGAGAACGGTTCGTTGGCTTCCCTGCAGGAGCTGGATGCTGCTTTCTTCCAGCTGAGGTCTCACCTGCACAACATCACCCTGCAGCTGGCAGGCGATGGGGACCCCAGGCCGCGGCGGCACATCCTGCTGATGGCCACCACCCGCACCGGCTCCTCATTTGTCGGGGAGTTTTTCAACCAGCAAGGCAGCATCTTCTACCTCTTTGAGCCCCTCTGGCACATCGAGAAGACGGTGACCTTCCTGCCGGGGGGAGCTAGCGCCGTGGGCTCTGCCTTGGTTTACCGAGACGTGCTCAAGCAGCTCCTCCTCTGCGACCTCTATATCTTGGAGAACTTCATCTCGCCGGCGCCCGAGGGCCACCTGACTCCCTTCCTGTTCCGGCGGGGCTCCAGCCGCTCGCTCTGCGAGGAGCCCGTGTGCACGC